ATAATGATATCAATATCTGCAATCAATTAAATCAATTACTCAACAATATCAATACGTATGGTTATATTGTAGCTTTTAATTACCTAATCATGACGTATTTACCTTTATATACATCTTTTTATTCATATCAATAATTATAATTAACTTTTAACAGACTCAAACTAACACAAGCCCGATTTTATTAAGTATATCATAATCATTTATTACTGCATATGCTTTAAAGTAGGTAATATTCTTTTTACCGTACAACGATTTATGATATGATGTGGAGTTGTCTTTAAGAGATTTAAATGGCGTATGAAAAAAACTTTTATTCCTTAAAAAAATTTGTCGAAAGAGATGTTTTTTCAATGGCTGACTACCATCTTCGTAGTGGATACCATTCTTGCTGAGTTTTTTAGTGCCTAGACTACGTATATTGCACTCATACATTGATACCAAAAATTCAATAAGACAAAGTTGACTTTCAACCTTAATGAAGACCCTTGGTAAAGGATAGAAATCGGTATAGGTTAGGATTGCCACCAGGAATTCAGGAACTTTTTTCCATAATCATCTTTTTTACAAATACTTCAATTATTTGAATCTTTTATTTATATATTCAGTATTTATTTAATTTGATTGACCACCTTAATGTTGCGATAGAAGAATTGAAATTATATTATACAAATGTTAATAATCTATTATATGACTTTTTACTTTTAATAATTACATTGATGACAAACTAAATATTATTAATCAAAGTTTTCATATATCAAGATTTTCAGGTTTAGATATGAGAAACGAAAATTATTTTGTGTTACATGATCGACCCAATTTTTTAACCATTACTTTTTCAATATAAATCATACAATTTTTAAAATTTTATTAAAAATGGAAAAATGGACCAGTATTTTTTTTCTTAGAGATTTCATATGAGCCATATTTAGATAACAATGAAAACAATAATAAGCTCCTTTATTTCATTGTTTTGCTGATCAATCATCAACCCAACCAGGAATGATGATGTTAGGATATTGTTATGATGAAGGTATTGGAACCGAAATTAGATGGAATTGCAAGAGATGTCAATAAATCAATTTATTGGTTTGAAAAATCTGCCAAACAAGGAAATCAAGGTGCACAAAATACTTTATGTTAAAAAAATAAATATATCCGATGTAAAATTATTAGTACGGAAAATAAAATTTTATTTTTAATAGTCCGTCTGAGTACGGAAAAATTAAAAAAATCTTTTCAAACGTCTGTCCAAATTTGTAGTACCGTACAGTACTATTTTACTATATATTCTACTCTCGCCCCGTACTATAATATATTATCATTTTATTAATTTTAACAAATTATTACCTATATTAAATTGCTGTAACCATCTTTAATTTACTTAGTATTACATTATAACTGATAATACTAAAATTTTCTATTTAAATAAACTCATTGGTCCCGGTGCGGGTAACTGCTAGTTCAATACTAAATAAAATAATTTACAATAGTAAATTACTGTATTAAAAAGTGTTGTTAGTATTTTTAAAATTTTTCAATATCCCCAATTAATTTATATTTTATATTACCGAAGTAGAAAGAGAATACTTTTTTGGCATTCAAAATAGAATTCCATTATAAAGAAATTAAGTCAACTTTTCATTTTAAAAATAATTTTGTATTCTTGGTAATGTAGACGCAAATAATAACTTACAATAAATAACATATTTAGTAGATCAGTTGCCACAACTGCACCGTATACTCCATAGTTGAGAAGATTCCTAGGGTGAAACAGATTTTCATGCATAAGAATAAACCTTTAAATGTTTTAAAAATTCTTTTTTTTATAAACGATCTAAATGCTCGGTTTAGATCGATTGGAGCTTCTAAGCAGTTTCGAATTAGTGTCAGGTTATTCGCTGATCATCTAAATAATACGGTATATAATACATTCGGATAAAGCACTAGTAACTAGTTCAAAAAATACATATATATTTTTTTGGGTAAAATAAGTAAGAACACAGTACTTAAAAGAATAATAGCATCTGTATAGTACCTAGAGAATTTAGTGATTATACTATACGATCACAAAATTATCTTTCTAAATTTAATAATTTTTTGTAATTGGCTTTACGGATACCAGGTACAAACGAGATAATATTTATAAAATATTTTACATTTAAAATATTTTTAAACGCAAAAAAAAGAATTTATTTATTTAAAAAAAATTTAAAATAAAATAAAAATAAAATTATTGTTAATTAATTAACTAATTAATTTACTTATTATTAATTAAAGATTCATGTAAAATAAGTACATAAAGCATTTATAAAAAATCCCAAACTTCAAAATCTGCAGATCCACTATCAATACCAACAAGAGTAAATGCACAGGCTATTGGTTCAACATTAGGTGGTTGTCCATGTCCAATTCCAATTCCAATAGCGTATGATGTAGGCAATTCTTTTGGTGCAGTGTATTTCTGCGTTGTAGAAAATGCAGTTCCGGCTTTAATTGGGCAAGTAACTCCAGGTAATGAACAAATATCCACAACAAGGGGATCTCCTATTGGTTTTTTCGCGTTAATATCGATGAATGCAATACCAAGAAAATCTCCAGTGACAATGTCTTTTTTCATTGTTCCTTTAATGACAAACGTTTCTTCTGTTCCAGCAACGATAGGAACAGGTGTCACTGTTACATCGAGTCCTACTACATCTGGTGGCAAACCGGGACATGGGAGAAATAGAATTTCCCTTTTTTCAAGTGCAAGTGGTGCTGCATTGACCGCAAAAAGCGTAGCAAATAAAACGAATGCCAAAATAAAAATTCGACTCATGATTACTTGAATTTTCTTGTAATTAGATTTTTATTAAAATAAATGTTTTTTTATTTTATTTTTTTTTTTTTGAATTCAGATTAAATCAGTTACTTCTTTTATAAGAAAAAAACAACAACCAAAGATTTACTTTTTTCATCTTTTCTTTTTCTTCGTATTAATTTTATTAATTTGCAAATCTAGAATCTAATAGACGATTATTCATCATACTATACATCAATCATGTTAATTATGTTGGAAGAAAATCATACTAAAATAATAATTATGTATTACTGC